TAAGACCATCTGCTGTTAAACAGGAGGATTTAAGGTCAGGCACTGAGTTGGGTTCCTTTATTTGTACAATTTGGGTCGCCTTATGGTTGCTGTGTAGATCAAATAGATTTTCTTCTTCTAGTCTGAATCCACCAGTAGTTTCGTACCTGCTGTGACTTCTGAGCAGGTTGTTTCAAGACAGTCGAAGCTTTTGAAGGATTGCGACTGATCCTCCCGACGTGAAAGGCGCTACGCAAATGTAATCCTGTTGTTGTTGTTCTTGTTGTTGATATGAACAGGAGTGGTCATTCATTTATATTAGAATAGGATCTATTGCACCCAAGTGCACCCAAATAGATTATTAAATTAATATTATCTATTTGGGTGCACTTGCTGCCAGGTCCTCTCTAAGCTTCTTACCCCACCAATATTGAAACGGTGCATTAACATTGTAGTGGTATAATAATATAATAATAATCCTTGCATTTGGTATAGTGCTTTGCACGTCTTCTAGACATCTCAAAGCGCTTCACAGACTACTCTGCAAAGTGACTGTATATTTGTGGGTGAAATGTGTATTTACATTTATCATGAAACAAAACATTCTTGGTCGTGGTGAAGCTAATGGGTTGTTAGTGAAGATTTTGAAAGAGCCATCATCTCCTTGATGCTTCCTGGGTTAGGCAGAATTTAATTTCATTGAACCCTTCTTCAAATGTAACCTCTTTGAATTATTTTGATACAAGATATGTAAATCTAAGTTTAGGGGGCAACTGTTTTTGTAAAATATCTGGATAGAAAACCTTGGTTTTGTTAGATACCTTTCATGTCAGAAGGACATCACAAATCACTTTAAAGGGTATACTGTAAAAGTATAGTGACTCCTACTTACCTCTGCGACTTAATAACACCAAGCTGCCTGCTCTCTCCACACGGCAGGGGCTGACCTGCTCCAGTCCCCCGTCCTGCCCGTCTCACCATCGGCAGTCAGGCCTTCAGCCTTTCTGCTCCTTCTCTCGGGAACTCCATCCCGGAGCCCCTCCACCTCACCACCTCCTATGTCTCCTTCAAGGCCCTTCTAAAGACCTTCCTCTTCGACCGTGCCTTCGGTTACCTTCACACTCCACCCTCCCTTGCCCTACACCCATCTTGATTCCAGCCCACAGCTTGGGTGCAAAGCCCTGACAGTCCAGCACTTTAGGACATCCTCCTGACGTGAAAGGAGAAATAATAATCATTGCATTTGTTGTCTCAAAGCGCTTCAAAGAATATACTGTAAACCGAATTAACGGCATATTTTGTGGGCGAAATGCAGCAGCCAATTGGGCACAGCAGTGTCCAACAAACAGGATTGAGTGACCAGATTTTTATTTTTTTAAAATAATTGAAGGGATTAATACCCCCAGAAAGCAATCCGCCAATTGACTAATAACTGGGTTCCTACTTACTGCTGGGTAAATAGAGGCATGCGGAGTAAGGAAACTTGCCTAAGGTTTCGCCCTGCCCAGGAATCGAACCTGGGTCCTCTCACTTGCGAGGTGAGCTGCTCCAACCATTACCCTACAGGGCTCCATGACTTTTTCGACTGTGATCTCTTTAGACTTTGTTGTCTCTAATTTATGAGAAGCATGTATTGTCAGCAAGGGTGTATAGTGGCCAGAATGAGCCTTGAATGGGTGGTGTGAATAATCAGGACATCTGTTTGCAGTAGTTCACTCCTACCCCATTTAGAAAGCTCCAATCTACTTAAACACATATAAAGCAAATGTTAAATTCAGTCTGAATACAGCAAAATCAGTTTTTCTAGGTACATAAAAACATGTTGCCAAATCAATGCTGTAATTTTCATTCACTATTTGAAGTAATTGATCAATTATCCATTGCTTTTGCAGTGAGTCTGTTCCATATATCCACTTTTCTGTGTGGGGTTAAAGGAAGGAATTCTAATCTTTAGGATTGAGACTTGTCAATTTTGAATTATTGTCCTCCAGTTTGGTGCTTACACTTCATGTCAAATAGCTTTCTTATATCTATATCATCTAAACTTCCCAATAGTTCAAAGTTGCCACTTTTCCCCCTCAACATTCTTTCTTCTGTCAAAAGCAGATTAAATTCTATGAGCTTGTGCTCATAATTTACAGCCCCGACATCCACAATCACACTGGGTACACTTTTCTGAACTCTCTACAATACTTCAAGGAAAAAGCACCAAAACCAAAAGCAGCAAGTTTTTTTTCAGGAGTAAAAATATAATAAAGACTGAATTTTGCATTCTAGTATTCCAGCTGGAGAGCAATTTGCTACTTCCACAATAATTGAACTTTGCATCCTTGTTTCAATCAGAAGCAATTGCTATTGAACCAAACTGTTAGACCTCCTAGAAAGCCAAACATGTATAATACTTTCACTATGTGAATTACTATTTAATCCAGCGCAATAAAGTACTAAAATATTCAGTCAGTCATCCAGGTCATTTTTTTAATATGAACAGAGGTGTTTTCCAAATTGTATAAGTAAATGCCAACCAACTATAGTTTATTTACTCTAAACAATAAACAAAATAATTACAGTACTAGCACTAACTCGTGTGCAATAGCACTAACTAGTGTGATATGAAATGTTGAATGTTGTTATGTCCTTACATATCAAATGCTAGAATTATTATATTATGTGTTCAGTTTTCTTGAGACAGTTAGCTCATGGTAAAATGTTAATTTTTTTTATCCATACTTTTAAATATCTTGCTCTGGTGTTGATTTTTTTTATGCCAATTGATGAATATAATTTGGCACATTAAAACAGTGGAAGCTGAAGCCTTTGTAAGGATAAATATATTGCGACTTAAAAAAAAAGTGGCAATGCACCTCGCTGGTTGGGTTGTTGTTTTGCGATTTCATTAGCAACAATTCTTTGTCAGACTTCAGCACAAAGGTCAATAGTAAAGTCACAAATCCTTTCGGGAATAAATACGATACCGTCTGTACAGATGAGTTCCCTGAATCTCGATTGTGCAATTTATAGATTAGTTGAAGTCACATAGCACCTACTTCAATTTAATCAATTTGGTGGATGCCATGTGCTGTGGGGTTAACCTCATAGCTGTAAACCTGTTTCTGGCCAAAGCTTTTCTACGGATTTTCAAATTTTCACATTCTGCATTTAAATCGGCTTTACTTTAATTGTCTTTCCAAGAATTCTTCATAATTTTCTAATGGATCAACACATTTAAATATTTGAACAAAGAATTTATGTTTATTAATGTGTTTAAATGAAATTGAAATATTGACCTATAAAGATGAGAAATACAAATAGCCCTGAATTACCTCAATCCCCCATTTCTGCGCTATATTTTTCCTGATCAATAAGTGTTGTGCTTCTGTTAGTTCATTTGTGTCTTTGGTCATATTGCTGGAGTGTAATTATGCTTAATATTTAAAATGGTCATATAATTTAGTGCATCTGTTATCTGACTCCCCCCCCCCCCCCCCCCCCTCCCCCCACCACCACCACCCCCATGCTCCATCACAGCAACAAGCAAAAAGTGTATTGATACATTAAACTGCTCCACAGGAGTTACTGTGAAGTATAGTGACTATATTTGTAGACAAACGTGACAGCAAATTTGCACACAGCAATGTCACACAAACAGTCATGAAGACAATGATCAATTATATCTGGAGGATTATTGGCTGGAGTGGAATCACCTTTTAAATCCTTTTTATTAGTTCTTGCAAGGTTCACAAGAACTGTTCATCCATAATTTTAACAACTGCTCCATTGCTATCTTAGATTTCAGTGAATATACCTTCACAATCCAAAACAGTGAAAACTGAAGCTTTCTGAAGGATAAGTCAGTACATATATATTGATATAAATTACAAAGTGAAGATTTTTGAAGCACTTTGAGACATCCTCCTGAAGTGAAAGGTGCTATACAAATATAAATTGGACAAATTGGCTGAAATACTCATAATAAAAGATAACTTTCCAATAATTGTAGAAAACATATTTTACTATTACGCAATTGATTGTAAATTTAGTTATTCATTTCTGAAAACAACTAGGAGTTAAACTACAGTCTCATAACAAGCCAAAGATGGAGTGGGCGATGATGATGGAGGGGTAAAGTGAGATTGGGATAGGTAGTTAACATAAATATGGCAACACATAGACAGATATCACTATGGACCGGCACTTGTCCAGCTCATTATGAATGAGCTCTCACTTGTCCAGCACAGAAGCTTCAACCTACTTTTCTGGCATAGGATGCTTATAAAATGAATTAAGTACCATCTAAGACTACCATAAAAACTGGATAAAAAGATATAATTATAGTCTTGAGTCCTGTTTATACAGAGAGGTATTGTCTATCAATACACATCATCATTTCAAAGTAACCAGAGTCATTATGAGTATTATAGATCAGTAATGTCCAAGTGATGCATAACTGAGATGCTTTAAAACAGCACTATGTACAAACTGCATTCACTGTGAAACTCCAGAAGAATATATCAACTGCTGTACTCTGAGAAGAAACAATTTTATACACTATTAATTATACTGATTTAGCTTGGGAATATTCTCCTGCATTTTGTTTCTTTACTCAACTGAATGAGACCCATCACCTTGTCTTTGCTGGGTGTTTATTCCACATATCCATTGGTCTATGTGTGTGGGTGATGGGGAGGGATACAGAATGTTATTATGTTATAACAGATGTTTGTAGCTTTGTTCATTTTACACTTTTTTTTAATATCGCCAAAAATGTGTAAATGTGTATTCAGTCATGGAAACCTTCTCTTAAGGTGAAAAAAAGTTTTCACACCGTTTTGCTTTAATATTGCTCTTGAGCCAGCTACTGAGAAATGCTCTGCACCAGAGCGGCAAAGGTCAATTTATTCTCTAGTTTTTCCTTCCTGCTCTCTGGTTAAGCACCTCCACTCAAATTGGCATCTGTCCCAGGCAGATGAGATCAGAGTCACTCTATGGGGAGTATTGTGTGACAGACCCTGTGTCCTACCATGGTACAGATACATTTTGCTGCTGGTAAGACGCCATCATTTTTCAAAATGACCATCAATAATTTACAAATAAGACTGCTTCACATCTTTCAGATTCCCTTGTCATAAGTAACCCTTTCAGTACTTTAAACGTAGAGGCGTTCCTGGGATGATTCCACGTTCTAAGGTGACGTGTGACGCTTTCCTTGTTATTTTGAAAGGTTTGTAAGATTAATAATAATATAATAATAATATAATAATAATCTTTGCATTTGATATAGCACTTTTCACGTTTTCTAGATGTCTCAAGGCGCTTCACAGAATATACTGTAAAGTGAATTGACTATATTTTGCGGGCGAAACGCGGCAGCCAATTGCGCACAGCAGCGGTCCACAAACAGTCGTGGATTGAAAATGACCAATTTATTATTGTTTTGTTTTGGAGGGATTATTATTAGGCGTGTGGAGTAAGGAAACTTGCCCAAGGTTTTGCCCTGCCTGGAATTGAACCCAGGTGTCTCGCTTGCAAGGCGAGTGCTCTAACCACAGAACTCACATCTAAAAACACATCCATAGTGAAGTTTTTTTTTAAAAAACACAAGGTGAATAAAGCTAGAATGTCTATGGTAAATAGTTTGTTAAGAATATTTTGAATATTGCCTAAGCATTGGGGAGATTTGTTTGTCAAACTTGACGTTTTAAAGACTAGTCCTGAAAATCCCTGAGGTGGCCTGGGAATTTGCAGGCATGATTGGGACAATGAACTCTGATTTCACTGTCATGCCTCATACCAGCCATTACATGCTTAATTTATATTAATCTGTTCCAATTTGTTCTGCTTCTTTGGTGATGTTAGAACAGTAGGAATTCAGCAGAATTTTTCTCTTTGATGTTTATTATCTGAATTGATTTTAATGGTCATTCAGAAGAATAGGTTAATACAAAGAACACAACATACATATTCATATTAAAAGTGCATCTTTTAACATAAGATTCAGACTTTTTAATTGGGAGAAATTCTATCCTGCTCTAGATTTACTTGAGATTTATGTAACTTTTTAAGTGTATACAGAATTAATTCTTAAAAGCAGCTTTAATTTTGAAGGCGTTTCTGAAAGTTCTCTTAAGAAATCTGGAAAAAAAAGCACTACAAATTCAACAATATTGTAATACAGAAATAGATATAGAATCATTGTCTATTTTGCAATATTCTTCCGCAACATTACAACAAAATACAGTAATAAATGAACTTGTGAATGCTGAAAATCTTATGACTAATTGGTGTAATAAAACCATGGAGTTTGCTAGGTCAGTGCTGGGTGAATTCAGCATTTTCTGAATAGGTCCTGTCATTTGTCATCTTGGTGATGTTTGCAATGAAATAATTTAGGGAATGTTTGTACAATGTAAGTACGTGTAATTAAAAAGACTGATGTGAATCAGTGCTTTCCTTGTTTAAGAAATGATGGTGTTGCTAGGGTGATAAATTAGTGAGTGGCTGTGGAAGCTGATTGCACGATGGGGTCAGAATGTGTTTGCGTGAAATGTGTCTCCATCGCAAACTCAATTGGAAAGACTCACCATCATCTAGTTATTATTTAGCCGCATTAAGCACTGATCCTCAGCAGATTAGGCTGTGGCATTGGATGTATGTTACATAAATAAAAGTGACACTGAGTTAGGATGTTCGTGCAATTTATTTCCAGGATTTTTTTCAGCAGAGCAGAAAAGCTGAACAAAATGACATTTTTTTCTGTATTTGTACCAGTGATTCTGTGGGCTGCAAACAGCATAAAGGACAGGAAATGACTGTTTATAGGTAACCATTATTAATATAATCTTCTCTACACGTGTACCACGTGCCACCACATGTGATGGAGGATAACAATTGTAATGTTGTCCTCTATGTCTTTTTAATCAGCAAGAAGGGGGACAATGAGACAAGGGTGACTGTGAACTGTGAACTGGCAACAGTTTACACCTTATCTACTAACGTCTCACAAAATATTAACCATAGAGGTTAAAATTCACTTCATGTGGCTTACATATAGTCTGCATAGCTTGTGATGTAAATATGTTACAGAAAATCAGTTGTTCTCGGTACTGCATCATACACAAGCATCCAGTTTCTATAAAAATGAATGGAAAAATCAATGTAAAAATATCATGAATTTCAAGGAATCCCATAAGTTGCATTTGGAAGTGAAGCAAGAATAATAACAACAATTCTATAATCTGATATAGCACCTTTCATATCAGGAGCATTTCTCAAAGTGCTTCACAGGATTTACTATAAAGTGCAGAGATTCTGTATTTTGTAAGCGAATACAGCAGCCAATTTGCCCGGAGCAATGTCCCACCAACAGCTATGAAGGTATCAACAACCATTGATAATACAGGAGAACAAGTTCATGGGAACAAAAACTGTCATTTTAAAGGTGTTTACTGATCGCAGTTGGCTATAATGATAATTATGATTATGATGCAAATAAAAATTGCATCTAACTATGTAAAGGCCAGGCAATCAACTCACAATATCTAATGTATCTCATGTAACAGTACTATGAAATAATCTTCTGGTTAATTTTATTAGCTGCAGTTGGTTATCTTGAGTTTGTATGCGACAAAAGTGAACTAGAGATAGAATCCCTGTAATTAACAAATTTAATTCTGCATTCTATTAAAGGCTATTTTCTAAAGAAGCTCATACATGTGATGATTGCCTTCCGCTATGTAATTGTCAGCTTAGCCCCTTTAATACATAATAATGCACTTTAAAACACCAGCTGCCTTACAACCAAAGGGATGATCATCTTTAATTACAGTAGCAAACAGTTATATTCATAACTGCTCATGAATAATCCCACCTATAAATAATTATGACATTTTAGTGTAGGAAACTTAAGATAAAGTCCAGTCCTGATAAGTGATCAGTAGAAGGAAATATAGGATCCAACTCTATGGAGCGCAATTGATTCCCCTTTTAGCAGAGGGTTTAAGCAGTAGAAATCTCACTTTGGCAGTAACGTTTTAATAACCGTTATCTTTTCCAAACTCCCCCAATCAATTTTGCCCGTAAGACTTTCAAGAACAAAAACATTCTTTATTGTGTTGGTGGCACTTTACAATGTGCACAACATTCATGCTATTGAGATTGATTTCAATAGTTCACATATTATTTTATTTTAGAGGAGAATATTCTGCATGAATTGTTATCTCTGTTGTTCCAGCTTTGGTTTATCTTAGTCCTTTCAATGCTGTGTTGGCCACTTCTGTTTATTCCTTTTGTTTTCCTTATCTTTATGTAACCTCTGTTGTGTTTGCAATAGTAATGAGTTATCTGAATTGTCTTTATACAATTCTTTCTCTTCCCTCCCTTCTCCTTGGACATTAGAGTGTTTATAGGGGAAGTAAGATTAAACATATGGAGAAAAAAAAGGTGCACATTTTGATGAATGGTGACAATTGTGGAATAAATAAAAAGGGAATAAAAATCTAAATAAGCAAGTCAAAGACATTCAAAAATGAACAGAGTAGGAATAGCGACTAAAACATAAAAACACCCATGATTCTACTTTTTCTTGTTGTTTTATTTGTAAATCTGAAATGGGTCTTATAGATATTACCGAAACAATTGATAAGTGAAAGATGTTAAGCAAAATAATAATAATAATCCTTGCATTTGATATAGTGCCTTATCATCGTTGAGACATCTCAAAGGGCTTCACAGAATATACTATGAAGTGAATTGACTGTATGTTTTGTGGGCGAAACAGTAGGTTCCCCTTTTGTTCTCTTCAATGGTGGAACTATGGAAAACCCTGGAAACCAGATTAGAAGAGGAGGTGCTATAGATTTGAAGGTGTTATGATTGTAAATCTGTGGCACTGGCTGCTTTAACCTGTCTGTACACATGAGCTCAGAATTACAGTTCCTTTGACTGGACTGGCACAGGACAATGTTGAAGCATTCTTATTTTGTACACAGATACAAAAGGTCAAAACAGTTTCAAAATGACACTTACCCAGTTTTTTTTTGTTTTGTAACTGATCGTAATCAGAGGAGGCTGCAGAATTTTCTGATCCATTCCTTCGAATGCATACACACCCATTTGAGCACTTTAGTTAAATGTAAAGTATAAATCAGTGTTTTTTGTCTTTTATTTTTAGGTATTGTTTTCAAAAGGGGTGTGTATAAAATACAGTTCAATTAAAGTTACAGAAATGTAAATATAGGTGTTAAATGTTTTAAAAACTGAGTGATACAAATCAAACATTATGAAATGACGCATTTTGTGAGAAGTGAAAAGAAGATCCAGAGAAAGTACAACTATAACTAACTAAGTCGCTCACAGTTAGCATAACTGACCCGCTTGCTACAGAAGACAGCAACAACACATCATCAATAGAGTAAAATTAACCTGGCTCACCTCCATACATTATTTAATAGCCCACCCTTACACACATGAATGAAACTTTGTGAAATTGGCATAAATAATGATAAAATTTGAGACGAGGACTTCAATCCAAATTTCATTAAGGTGCAAAGAAATATCTGGTTTCTGAGATGGCATATTCATTTGCAAATGTGTTAAATGATCAGAAATGTTTAGGATGGCAACAGCTGGTTAACTAATCAATCGAATTATTCAATCTCCAAATATGTGATCTAATGTTACGCAAACCATTGTCCTTGCTTTGAAGTAAAGCAACCAACAGTTTCCATGGGGAAATGTCACTTAAGAATGATTTCAGCATCCACAGGCAGTCAACTAATGATTACCCCATGCTGTATTTTTGCCTGGGATAATTTGCCAAAACCCCAAAACCACCTTCTTCATTGTTTTTGAGGATTATTTGACACATCAGATTAAGCTGCTTTGGTTCAACAAGAAATGAAAAAGTTTGTGATGTGACACATGTAAGCAGGATTTTTTTTGTGAGATAGTACAATTAGAGAATTAATTAAATTTGGAGCAACAAATACAGCAAACTTCAACACAGCCCTGCAAATAAAACTCTTACAAAGATATGTGAGATTTTACAACTAGATGACAGCAAACTGTCAGGTGCTGTGGGTAGAGTTAAAGGCGACAGAACATATGCATAGACACTGTAGTCTGTGCATAACTGAATGCTGGAGATCCCCGGAGTGTAAAGGAGCCTAGCTATGTTCTGTCAACAGCCCACCTTGTTATCTTTTGAAGGGAAATATTCAAGCTTCTGTTTATTACACAGAACCCCGAAGACACAGCATCAACCACCAATTTACTTGTACCATTTCATGATCACAGGAAAACTGAGTTTCAAAATGATGGTTCTCAACTGACCAACAGGAGTTATTTATGTGTAGACGCATTTTGCCACTGGATTGCGATTTTATACCGCCTGAGATTGCATGGAAACAATAATAATAGGGTTTTTCATTTACTTCTTTCCTTTTTCCAGAATGCAGAATAGACATTGATAACAAAACATGTTTAGTTAGCTTCTAGTTTAAAAATCTATCTCTTTGAAAAAGTAATTGTATTAAAAGTATTAAAAGTCCATGTTGCTAGTGCCTCAATACATTTCTTGTTAATACTGCATGACAGTAATCTGATGACTAAAAGTAATTGGCAATGTATTCAAGCAGCAGAGGCAGCTTCCTACAAGTGGAAAACAATTATTGTAATGATTTTTGCAAATCCAGAAATAAAATAATTGGGATTGGAGCCTAGATATTATAGGAGGCATCGGTAGAAGAGTTTGACTTGACATGAACTGGGGGTTGGAGGAGATAGCGACAGCTTGGAGAATGACCATAGGCAATCGGGATAGACGGCTTCATAAGCCTAATAGATATACTCACACAGATCAGTGAGTTTTGTGATTAACACAAGTAGAGCTGACAGCATCCATGTCTAAACTAAGGTTTAAAGCTCACTTTCAGTTTGACTGTTCAGTTGCCAAATGCTGGAAGAGTTACTCTTTAATGGACTTTAACAAGCTGTATTGGACATTTCAGAACAATTTTACTCTAGCTTCTGAAAATTAGGAAAGTTCAGAGGAGTGCTAAATATCCATTCATTTGGTGTAATCTCTCAATCTCCTGCCGCCTAACCAAGTCTCCTCCTCCACACACCCCCATCCCCCATTTACTCTCATCTACATTTTTGCTAGGATTAGTGTACAGAGGAATGCCAGCTTCCTGGGGTTCTCCTCAAAAATATGTTTTTAGTAAGGTGATTAAAATGTTGCTGCAAATGAACTTTTAAATAAAACCTTAAAAAGGGGATTTATAGAATGCCTGTTTCTCATTAAAGCAACATCACATCTTATTAACTTATTCACTAATCTGAAAGAAACGTGCAACACTCCTGTGCTGTACACTCTGTCTGGCTTGATTGTAACAGTGTCAACATTTTCTCATAAGATTTTTGAATGTTTCATAGAACATTATAGTAGGTTGCTTTTTTTAAAAAAATTCAGTGTCATTGATTGTATCAAATGAATCCTTTCAGGGTTTAGTTTCCATAATAAAAAAAACTCTCGGCCGATGCTTCATTCAGTTAGGGTTTCTTTCTCTGAATTGTAACATTTGGTGTCTAACTTGTTTTCATTTCCTTGTGTTTCATAGGTGTGTGTTGTGCTGCAGATCTTAACAAGTGCCTCCCCAGCCCCTGTAAAAACAATGCTATCTGTGAGGAACACACTGAAGATTACGTTTGCCATTGTCCAGCAACACCTGTAGCATTTACAGGGAAGAACTGTGAAGAACCATATGATAGTTGCTCATCCGACCCCTGTTTGCACAACGCTACTTGTAAAAGCACGCTGGGAACAACAGACTTCTCTTGTAACTGCCTTCCTGGATACACTGGCAACAAATGTGAAATTTACATCAATGAGTGTGCCCACAGCCCATGTAGGAACGAAGCCACCTGTTTGGATGACAATGTTGGGCACATCTGCTTGTGCACACCAGGTTATACTGGCAGAAACTGCGAAACTGACATGATAAAATGTGCATCAAGCCCATGTGCAAATGGAGCCGTATGCAAGGATAAGGCTGATGGGTTTTCATGTTTCTGTGTGCCTGGTTTCCAGGGCAAACAGTGTGAGATCGAAGTGGACGAGTGTGCGTCAGAACCTTGTATGAATGGAGCCATGTGTATGAACAAAATCGACAAATATATCTGCAAATGCCCACTTGGCTTTACAGGTAAAGGGACTTTCAGAAGCAAATCATCAAAGTGTGGTCCAAGAAAACCCAGTTTTTCAAAGAATTGAGCAACTTTCATTCCAAAATGTTGTTCAGAATACAAAATATGTTTCTTCATGTTTTTGCAGTGTAGCAGTTTCCTCTTTTACAACAATATAACAATGTGTATAACAATGAAACTCACTATTTACGATTAGGATAGGGATAAGATTCTGCATTTAACCAGTCTGGCCTGCACTTTTTGCTTATTTGTTCAAATGAACCTTTAGGTAACAAGTCAAGCTTAATACTGAAGTACAGAATAGTCAAACATTTCCACAGGTCAGATGCTGTCTGTTTGTTTAATAATCCCCAAGAGCCTAATAAATAGAGGAAGCATTGAACGAGACAATATTCTCAAATGAGTTACCGTCAAAAAAAAACTTTGTGTTGTTGGGTGTAAGTAGTTCAAACTGGCAGCTCATGTGGGGAGCTCATCGTTTCACGACTCATGGCTATCATGTCAAAACCAGGCACAAAGGTAGGGATCAAGCACAATTGGAAACTTCATACCATTCACTTGAAGAACATTAATGAATAAAGAGATCCGTAGAAACCTAACCAACACCGCATTTAGACTTGCTAAATAATATGAGGTAGGCAGCAGAATACAACATTGTGTGTAATGTCAATGGATATTTTCCAGTATTTCTTACCAACAAGTCCAAGAGTATTTTGAAATATATATTTTTTAAAAATTGCAGGGATATTTCTCTAAAATTTGTGTACATTTTGTAGTTTATGCAATTTGCGTTTTGTTAATGGTTGGCCAGGCTAAAAGATGTTGCATGTTAATGATTAATTATACAGGGTTTAAGATGACAATATGGTGCAAAAGCAAGCCAGATATATCAGAATCTATGTCTAAATTTGGTATTTATTGGATATGTTTATTTGAATAAACCAAGGCCAATTTATATTCCGATTTTGTTATGGGAATGTTCTTACTTTGAAATAAAACATTGTTACACTTAATAAGAAAGCACAAAGATAAATTACAATTATTGCCCCAGTTGTGCTGATGTTCCCACCTCCAATAGATACCCATCTGTAATGTCTTGCCTGACATTAGTATCTCAGAGACTTCCTAATTCTCCTTACCTTTCCCTAGAAGTCCATGGATGAGTGTCAGTGAAGACCTAGACTCAAACTAATCTCTAAGATGGTCCATTGGATCTAGGACTACCAGATCACTGGGAAGCCATTACTTAAATATATATATATAAAGAGAAAAAAGATATTTGTGTACGCTTTCTTTTACATTACAGTTTATTGGATTGTGTTTATAGGCACAAATTGTGAGTTGGACATCAATGAGTGCTTCTCACAGCCATGCCTGAATGCTGGGACTTGCCATGACAACCTGGCCACCTATTCTTGCACTTGTGCTCTTGGTTTCAAGGGCTCCAACTGCGAAATCAACCTTGATGAGTGCGAGAGTCAGCCATGTCAGAATGGGGGACGATGCATAGATGAAGTGAACAGGTACGTTATAGAAGAAAGCCAATGTTAAAAGGACTGTTTATGGGCCACTGCTTTGCCCAAATTGGCTGTTTCATTCGCTTATATCCTTTTCATTTAATTACTGGATATAATGTTATCCATTGGCACTGTTTTATATGATTATATGCAGTATTCTATTAATTGTTATTTTAAGTTTTTGTTTAAAAACTTTGCAAATGATTTATTGTATATTATGTTCAAACATTTACTAAATAAAATTCAATGTAAAATTCTTGATAATTGGTTCTTTAAAAATTATGTACTGTTACAAAACATTTATTAATAATACTTGAATTTGACACAGTGCCTCAAAGTATCTCATGACGTTTCACACATAATAAGTTACTTCAAAATGTAATGACTGTTTATAAATGTGAACCTGATATGCCAAGGGTTTGGGTGTTTTATTTATGCTTTGAAGGGAGCTCTGCCTTAATAATAATGGGTTTGGCAAAAAAAACATACACTTATTTGTCCATAATACATTCAGATTCTATGAAGAGGGAGTTAATGTACTAAAGGGGTAAATGGCTGTTATTCAACCCCAACTATTCTTTGGTCTGAATTTCATTTGCATTTATTAAGGAAGCAAAAATCTAAATAATTGTTAATCTACTGGTAATGCTGCAGATTGCATTGAAATTCTGGCCATGTTCCATCTTTGGTGAGGTATAACCATTCAGTATATTTTCAAGCAGTTGACCTTTACTTGCTTGTTACAGATATAGCTGTGACTGTGCTGACACTCAGTTCACGGGTCTGCACTGTGAGATCTACGTTCCAGCCTGTCTTTCACAGCCCTGCCTCAACAATGCCACCTGCCAGGACACTGTTGGATACTACACTTGCCACTGCTGGCCAGGTTTGTTTTCTAAGAATGAAATATCTGTGCGTTGCTTATTGAAAACAAACAATAGTTTTTACTCACAGAACAGTTAGAGCGAACTGAGTGACAGGAAAAGAGTTACAGGAAAAGAGTAAAGTTTTATTTCTTCTGTGATCAGAATGAGCACTCATGTTTATTTATCGTTCTCCTTTACAAACTCGTGGCAGGTGATGGCAGCCATAGTTTTTTTTAAAAGATTTAAATTTACGTATAGATCCTCAGTGACAGAAAGCTATAGATGGACTACATATGCTTTCATTACGAAATGATTTTCGTGGCAATACCATTGTTACGATCTGGAATGCACTGCCTGAAAAGATGGTGGAAGCAGAATCGGGAATAGCTTTCAAAAGGGAATTGAGGAATGTACTTGAAAAGGAAAAATTTGCAAGGCAATGGGGTAAGAGCGAGGGAGTTCTCGTTGGATAGTTCTTTCAAAGAGCTGGCACAGGCACGATGGGCAGAATAGCCTCCTTCTGGGCTGTAAGTTTCTTTGATGCTATCATAATGAGTGACGTAAAACCTCAAAGAATTTCAACTGATGAAAATGGACTTCAAAAGATAATCTTAGAGTAATCAAGTTGATATTGCGTTTCTTTAATAATTTTGCAACTAAAATTACAGGCAAAACATGTAAAAGTTACCATGCCCATGCTGTCACTTCGTCGGACCCAGAATTTATACGAAGGCTACACCATCATTAAGGAACAGTTAGCACTGTAGGGGGATTCTCAATTGCACCATCATTAATATTTCATAGTGACAGTGGGTGAGTGGTACCATGAGCTCCTCTGTGCATCTCAAAAGCTCCTGTATGTGCTACCTATATCGACGAGCAGCAGGTAAATGCTGTGTCCAAAATGCAAATCTCAGTGAGCAGGATTCCTGTTGCTCTTTCTCCTGCTGGGAAAGTAGCGTGAAACAGCTGGGCCGAGAATTTGGAATATTCATTATTATTCTTGTGAGCTCGGTAAGGGATAAATCAGAATGGCTGTTACAACTGAACCCAATAGCACAACTGAAGTGTGAAATGTATTCCCCTACAAAATGCCACAAAGACATTTATAATAATAATAAATAATAATAATCCTTGCATTTGATATAACGCTTTTCACGTCGGGAGGACGTCCCAAAGCGCTTCACAGAACACACTGTAAAGTGAATTGACTGTATATTTGTGGGCGAATGCGGCAGCCAATTGCGCACAGCAATGTCCCACAAACAGTCGTAGATTGAAAATGATCAATTTATTATTGTTTTTGGAGGGATTATTATTAGGTGTGTGGAGTAAGGAAACTTGCCCAAGGTTTCGCCCTGTCTGGAACTGAACTCAGGTCTCTCACTTGCAAAGCAAGTGCTCTAACCACTGAGCTACAGGACTCCACTTATTTATCAGCCATTTATCAGCTACAGATGCATAAAACATGAATTCAAGCGTACTAACAATCTTCAGTGACTGCTAATTTAACCTGCCGGACACAATCTTACCAGATTGTGAAATTGCATTGATATATCCACAAGTAGAATGAAGGGGCGAACGAAGAGGCAGAAAGATAAAGCTTAGGTGTAACTGAAAGAGAATTAGGAAGAAGGGTTGAAACAGGAAAGAAAGAGACAAAATAAAAAATAGAAGTGCACGATAGAACTTAGAAGGTGCAGAAAGGAAAATTGAGTGAAAGAGAAGCAGAAGAGTGAAGTGCTGTAAAAGGAAGTGAAAAGATCAAATGTAATAATAGTTTCTCTTTCTTTCATCTTTGCAATCTCAATAACTTGGAGCTTAAAAATAACTATTACTGCTTTAATTTGATTATTTCCTTCCCTGAGGCTAAATTTTATTCCAAGTCTTTGGAGAACAGAACATTTCTGCAGCCTGGTTTGTACCGCCTGGTCCACCAGCACCTAATATTTTTCTAAAGCTTTGTATGTTTTCTAATTCATACAGGTTTCACAGGGACGCAGTGTGAAATCGATATTAATGAATGCCACAGCAATCCTTGTGTACATGGTGGCGAGTGTCTTGAACTCTCCTGGCAGAACATGTATGGAAACAGCTCAGAAATACCTGCAGAGTTCAGCTATGAGCATGCTGTTGGGTACATTTGTAGATGTCAGCATGGGTTCACAGGTAAGCTAACATTGCGTTAGAATGTGGACTTTTTTTTAATTTCATCTTAAAACCTATTAGTCAATATTAGTATTTAAAAATATTTATTTTGTAATCTCCAGTGACTGCACCTTCCATCTTTAGTTTTAAAATATTTTAAAACTATTTACCATTCTCTCTTCCAGTGTTGTGCTCTGTGGAAGGCTATGACTCAAATACCTGAAGTAAAGCTCCACAGGTGTCAAGCACCCTTTAGTATCTTGCCCAGGGGGGTTTTCCTTCATGTCTAAGCCTCAACAGTGAATGTCGACTTAGAGCTTTTCTAAATCTTGCTGTAATGTGAAGAAGTGAAGAAGGCACCAGAGCAGGAATATGATCATTTCTCAGATGACAAAAGTCCCCAGTGAGTGCAGAGGCAAAACGAGGCTAACATTAACTGAAAGTAATTACTTGACCTATTTTACACAGAGATGCCAGACAGCAACTAATCTGCTCACCTAATTTTTAATGAATAGCATTTTGTTGATGAAATCTTCCAGCTCAGTGCCACAGCTCAGATTATTCAATAACTCTGGCAAAGGTCCATTGAATTATACGGTTGTCATGTAGAAATCATGTAGAAACTGGGTTTAAAATAGGCACCAAATACAATCCTAATTTGCAACATACCTGTACATGAAATTTATTTTCCAGCGATGATAGAATGGATTTATGTGTTCTAAACTACCAAAATAGGGCAGTTGCAGTTATTTCCTATTTGATAAAGTGGATCTCAATGAATTGTTGAGGGATTTGGCATGTACCTGAGATATTTGAGGCATTTGCCCACTGGACAAGTCCCATGTTTTATTATCTTCCCCACTTAACGTTATGGTTTGCTATTCTCTTTCAATGCCTCCATGGCTCCTCACTCACACTTTGCATCTAGTCCAATAGAGGGCAAAATAAACAAAATTATCTTTCTTTTTTTTGGTGGTGGTGGGGAACAATGAAATAACATACTGCACTGTTAAAGACTGGGTGACATGATAACTGGATCCCCTTGTGGAGCTGACTGACTGTAACCATCTGGAAACTGTCACTTGTGAGTCATGCTATCAGCCATATTTTAGCACACTGTTAGCCATATCACACACCCTCCATTCATTTATCAAGGCTGCAGAGAATGAATCTTCGCCAGTCTGACTCAGTTGGTAGCACACTTGCTTCTGAGTCAGAAGTTTGTGAAAATGAGGCCCACATCAAGGCTTTGATAAGCGCTTTGGGACGTCCTCCCGACGTGAAAAGCGCTATATCAAATGCAAGGATTATTATTATTATACTCTATCTCGGCTAATACTGTAGTGCCTGGGGAAGAGCTGCATTGTTGGAGGTGTTGTCCCTTGGACGAGACAATAAACTGAGGTCCTGTCTGCCTGTTCAGGGGGACACAAAAGATCACGTGGCATTATTCAGAAACAGAAAAGAGTTTCTCCTGGTGCTCTGACCATCCAGCACCTTTATTGTTCATTCAATTCTTGGCCTTTTGTGGGACATTACTGTGCGCAAATTTGCCGCCATATTCATCTACAAAATTCTAACTCAAGTGCAGTTTCTGTGGGGTATGTATAACAGCTCTGTGAGATTAATTTGATGACTGCATCACTGCCATAGAACCACAGACATTAATAATAATAATAATCCTTGCATTTGATATAGCGCTTTTCACGTCTTCTAGACATCTCAAAGGGCTTCACAGAATATTGACTGTAAAGTGAATTGACCGTATATTTTGTGTGTGAAAAAAAGTAACAAGGCAGAAGGAGGCCATTCATAGTGTTATGCCTGTGCTGGCTCTGTGACAGAATTGGAATAGCACAGTAACTACTATATGGTTGGATAACTTGTAGACTTTTTTTTAAAAAAAAACTCAATTTGACCAAAGCAGAACAAGTTGTGGAGAATTATTAAAGTGAAGATCATCTGTTTCTTTTCATAAACATACTCTTCACCAAAGCAAAATTCACTAGAGTTATTTCAGTATGTTGGCTACACATTGCAGAGGAATTCAAACTGAGTGGAGTGCTACAGAATATAAATTGCTCAAACAAGAACTGATATTTATAAAGTATGGGAAAGTTACAGTACTTGATGTTTCCATTGGATTTGAAGGTAATACCAATTGTTTGCAAAGGGCATATAATGAGATTGGCTATTTTGATCACCTGCGTACACAGTTAAAGAACCTGAGAGACAGGACCTCATTATCTTGGCTTTGGATAAGGCTTGAGACAAATTGTGAGTGCGGCAATCCGATAAACTACTCACACATATTGAATTTAAATAGCCTGTTAGTGTTATATTCAGGCTTCTCCTGCTGTTAGTCTTGAACACTTCTCAAATATTTAATGACAGGGTTGAACTTTCAATGATTTTAAAAGGTTTTGTTCTTTTTATTCAAATGTTATTCAGTAACAATCGTTTGAAAATTCCCAAATACATAACTGGGTAGATATTTTCTGACAATGAAAAGAGCGAAAAGGTTCTCCCAACACTCAGTATTATTTGAATATTTGGAAATTTATTAATGCAGTCACAGAATTCAATCTAAAAAACTTGAATTTTAATTCTACCTTAAGCTTCCATCAAATACACCAATAGAGAATGCTGTGTGTAAAAAAAATACACATTCACTACACTTTACAGTAAATCCTGTGAAGTGCTTTGACACTTTGTCCCAGGAGTGAATGGTGCTGAATTAAAGGATTATTATTATTAAAGTTGAAACGTCTCAATGCGCTTCACAGGGAATTGCTGTCATGTAGCTGTGTATTTGTACGCAGATGAAGATAATTACTTATGCATTTTTGGTCTCAGGGATTCCATTTCCAGCAACCTGACTTGTGTGTGTGTGCGCATTCTTTCGAACTATAGAACTTTACAACTCAAATTTGCACATCGTGGGTCTGTGTGGTACTGAGAAAATGGGGTTAGTATATTTCAGACAGCCTGACAGTACTCTGCTGTTTTTAGTACAAAAAGAACATCACAAAGTCACAAGATTAGCCCAAAGAAGATACTTTGTCCCATCCGATTTCATCATTACAATATGCCATATTATCCTTCTCCCATCGCAGCATCAAGCTGTTTTATAAAAAAAGGATACATCTGAAATTGGCAGCACAAAGCTTTTTTTTAAGTAGAATGGTCATTTAATATTTTAAAAAATGTTAGAGGGATTACATGTTTCTATGTTACCCTCCACTTCTCTGTTTTCTGGTATCCATGTGTGGGTAACCTGCTTCCTCTGCCATTGCCAATTGGAGTCAGCTGCTGAATGATGCATGCGATCAGCCTTCCTCAGTCCCCCTCCCAACTGGAGGAAAAACATCTGAACAGCAGGTGGCACTTTCCTGTGACACTCTCTGACTCGTAACTAGAATAAAAAATAAAACTACAACATCTCACCATCTCCCCACCATTCCCATAATAGCTGATTTGTATGTAAAACTGTGTTTTGCTTTTTTACTGCAAAGTAACTCAAATCCTCCCAATAGTTAGTAACAACAGTCAATTGAATTCTGATAAAGTATAACGGTTTGGTTGGGATAATACAGAAGTATGTATATATTTACCCTGTGCAGGATTACCCACCAAGTGCAAGTGGTTAAGGGCAAACCATTACAAATGACCAAGTAGAGTGAAGTTTTTTTTGTTGAAAATAAGCTTTTTATCACAGACAATAAACTCTTTCATTTGGGTTCCTGATCTGTTTGCACAATAGGTTTCCAGTGCAGTCGTAAACGGAATGACGGTACAAGAATTGGTTTGTTTGGTCTACATTTCTGTACAGTTCCACAATGAAAGTGAATTGAAATGGTATAATATTGCCCATAAAGTTCTTTAATATAGTATTTGTCTCTGCTGTTAGTTTCGCTTGTAGTTCAGGAGAGCAGTCAAAGTGGGCTGACTGAAATAATTACATGGACCTTTTGTGTATGGCAGGAATTTAATGGTTCTTAAGTTAAGTCTCACTGATCTGGCTTTGAGAATGTTTCATGCTGAGCTAAGTCAGCAGATATGGTGAGGCAAAGGAGCAAGTCACGGTGTATAGCAGTTAGGATGCATGTTAGCAATGAGAAAAGTGCCAGCCACAGGACATACTCAGTTAAATTTGCAGATGAGTGACGTTCATTGTATATTGTTTTCGTCGAGTGTGGATGTAGTATTTCTATTTTTGGCACTGTCCGCAATGATCCCATCGGTGCTTCAGTCCTCCTTAATTTTCATCATTGTCCTCACAGGTAAATTTTCTTGGTGCAATCTAAGGGATATTCTCCTACAGTTAATAGGACATGTGAAAGCCGGCAGTGATGCTTTAAACTTTAATGTTCAGGGAAATATAACTGCTTTCAGATCAAGTCTTCACACTGAGAAATCAATATTGTATAAGTACAGCGATTTCTGCTTCGAAACTTACTACTGCGTTAGTTGTTGCACTGGCACATGTTTAAAAGCAATGTATGCAAAAAATGATCTTTCGGAGTGATTTTACTGTGCTGAACATGCTTTACTATACACTTGAATTTAATATATTTCACAAGATGAAGAAATTAGGAAGATGTCCATTGCTCTGCTTAAATTGTACTTTTTGATAATTGTTCCTTTAAACTAAAAGTTATTTATGATCCTGGAAACAAGTAGATTCAGTAAGCAACATAGCTTAAATTTGAAATGTGTGCAAGTTTATTCCACCAGCTTCACAAATCTTACAAATGAGACTGTGTTGTTATTTAACTGAAATGGAAACATTTTGACAGGTATTTATGTTCCAAATGCGGAAACAGATATAGACTAATCGTTGTAATTCAGTTATCTGCTATTTCTTCCAAATGAAATGATTAATCCCTTATATCCTGATTTTTCTGCAAATATCAACGTGGTTCATTAAGATAGTCTGTTGTTTTCCTTATAAGTACAGCAATTTGCATTGATACAGCACCTTTCATGTCAGGGGGAGAAGGTGGCCAAAAGGTCCTAAGGTGGGTTTTGAAGGTGGGGACATGGCGGAGGGACTCAGGGATGGAGTTCCAGAGAGGACGGACTGATTGACTAAATGCTCATCCACCAATGGTGGGGTGGATCAGGCGGGACACTTGAAGCAGGCCAGTGTTTGTTGAAATAGAATCATGATTGTATTTCTTTATAACATCTATGTGGTACAATTAGAAATGAATTTCTGTCCATAAGTGTTTGCTACCCATATAAGATAATATTATACAGTATGTGTGTGGGGGGAGTGGGTAAGGAGAGATATGTGATAATGCTGCACAATTTCCCCAATATGAACTTTAGGATTTCAATGAAACATCAAAAATCCTGTTTCATATCTGCGACAACAGCTGAAAAAAACACCTATGAAACTGTTCAAAACTTCCCAGAATGGTGCAGTGTAAAGTTTACCGGTTACCTGTGTCAGCGTTGAATAACCCGATGAGCAGATTAGCATTCGGAAAAGTGAGAATAGGGTGTGCATGATTAAACCAACAGCAAAATTCTGCTCTTAAGTGAAGAGGATTACCAGAATCATGGATCTCAAACAAACACTTATTTTCTTAATGTTAAAGTTCATTGACCTAACATGGATAAACATTGAGACTGATGTGGCTTTCTTTCCTAGGCTCGTTCTGTGAAATGGATGTTAATGAATGTGACCAAAGTCCTTGTCAAAACGGTGGAACCTGTCAGAATACTGCTGGGAGTTACATCTGTCAATGCCCAACCACACACCAACAAGGAGATTTTTATGGAGGCAAGAACTGCACAGACCTTTTGATCGGCTGTGAGAACCACAAGTGCCAGAACAGAGCCAAGTGTATTCCTTCACTAAAAGACGCACAACATGTGTACCATTGCATTTGTGCCCATGGGTACACAGGCTTGAACTGTCAAACACAGACAACATTTTCGTTTGACATCAATGGATATCTTCATGTTAAAGTACCAGCTTCCAGAAATATTGACGAGCCAATGGAAAGCCTTTTCAGTGTATCCCTGAGGTTCAGAACTTTATTGCTCAACACAATTGTATTTCATAGGGGAAATAAAGATACATTTATGAGAATGGATATACTCAATGGATATTTATATACATCTCTGCAAATGGACAACCAGCTAGTTACAGATCTTCAGATTTTTAAGAACGTCAGTGACGGTGACTGGCACACTGTGGAAATGACAGTAGGAAGAGCCTTTGCTGTGAAACTCCTGGATGACCCATGTTCAGAAGATTGCACCATCCAAAAGTTTGTTCAGCTAGAAAATGATCAACTTGCTTCTGCGTTTGAAAGCATTTTCTTTGGGGGCATCGAGAATGGCAGCAGGCACTTTTCAGGAGCCACTGACATTGTCCAGTCTCAGCCTTATTTTGTTGGTTGCCTCCAGGATGTGGAAGTTGATTCCAAAATAATTGTCCCAGAAAAGCTTTCATCGGATTCAACAATGAACATGAAGCCAGGGTGCAGGAAGAAAGACTGGTGCCAGAATAATCCATGCCAGAACAGAGGCAAATGTCTTGATTTGTGGCTGAACTACAAATGTGAATGTTTCAGACCATACGTGGGATCTAACTGTTCAAAGGGTAATTATCTCTATGACTACTTTCTGTTTATTATTTCAATGCATTTTACTTTATCAAACAAGCTGACCTTCATTTAATCCTAGTACCTATTTGTTTTATCTTATGTTGAGTAATTGGCAAATAAACAGTCGATTATGCCCACTTAGAGAACAGGACGTAAGATTTAGTGTTACAGATATGTTCAGTTGATATGTATTATTATTTAGACTAAGATTCGCTCAGTGATAATCTATTGCAAACTCAAAATAAGAATCCAGAACTAGGATTCAAATTTACAATGAAACAATAATACCAAATGCAGTAAATGTGTTGTTTTGAATTGTAAACCCTCCCTTTTGCAGTTTTTAACCACCATTACAGTTGCAATGCAAATATTTGCTTTTATAAACTTCTGTTCTCTAAGCAACGTTACACGGAGTATCACATCAATAGTGACATTATCATCTAGTCTTATTGACAATGATACAAACTTGCCATTTCTATTTTGAGTGAGATGGATCAGATTCATTCGGATGCCATTTGGATGCCTTCAAACTTCACTGAAATCATTTAATCAAAAATTTTTCCAAGCACTGCTGAGTACAGCTGCTGCAGTGTTCCTCTAGGTCCTCCATCTCTGACATAGCCCTTCTATATTTTAATCCCTCATTAAACATTGGAAATAGGTGCAGCTCATAACATTTTTAATGTCGGTTATGGTGACAGCTCCAGAAATCAATGTTTGTAACTCAGTCACTGTAGGTTCTTTATGTACCAAAGCCATCTCATTGCAGCTTTATTAGAATTCTTTTGGTTCTATAATTCCAACTCAGCTTCAGAACTTTGCACAACTTTCTCAGGAGTATGTTTCCACAAGGACTGATCGTATTCACTTGACCTTTCTTTTCAGTTTGTGAATACGTCAACCCCAACTTGCATTTAAATAATGCCCTTTATGTGGAATAATGTCTCAGAGCGCTTTGTCTCAGAGTACTGAGCAAAGTATTTAACAAAAAGAGTTACTTTAAAGTAATAATAAAGTGAGAACATATTAATGAAATGCTGCCTTTTTAACACAACTACTAGGAACATATGAAAATAGGAGCACGAAGAACCTTTCAGTCCATCAAACCTGTTCCACTAGTTATTAGATTTTGGCAGATATTTCAATTCCAATGTCCCACTCCATTAAGGTTGTTTCCTACATGCAATTGCCCACAAAATATACAATCAATTAATTTTACTGTATATTCTGTGAAGCGCTTTGAGATGTCTCGGAGATGTGATAAGGCGCTATATCGAATGCAAGGATTATTCTAAAGGTGTTCATATGATCGACATGAAGGTATGAAATGCATATGTGCAGTTTTTTTTATAGTTGGATGTTTTTCTTATTTATTAAAGGTTGAGATTTCGTTAAATGTGGACCACTTAAATGAAGAGATTGAATTCCTAAAAACAATGTTGCTTATTAACTCGATCACAGCTGTAGAAGTAATCTAGAGATGGTTGAGCTATGTCATATGATATACTCTCTAAAAATTTGGCTCCAGTTGGTATTGAACACTTTTCAAGAATAATATGGACATTAATTTCACAAACAGTGTGTTTAAAGACACAACAGCTAAATGAATTCAAGATTACATTACACAAACTGAACATTCCTTTGATATTTCAGGTTGTTCAATACTGTTTGCTCCTTGTATAAATCATCGTTGTTTCTGAGCTAATGTCTTCTTTGTCTTCAATAGAATTAATTCCCGGCAGATTTGGCCATGAAGACACAAAGGGATATGCTTTATTTATCATTGATGATGATCTAGGAGAAGAGGTGAACATCTCCATGTTCATTCGCACACGGAAACGTAATGGCTTATTATTTGCTCTGAAGAATAGCAGTGCTCAGTACCTTCAGATAAGGTTGGACAGTGGTAAAATTATTGTCCAATCTTATTTGTCCAAAGCTCTCAGTGGTGATCACTATACCAGTGACAGTGACCTCCATTTCATAACTGTGAACATTGGAAGAAACAGGATGAAGCTTACCCAATCTGGACAGATGGTCAGCCACATGCACATTCATCCAATCAAAGTGCAAGCTGGAGATTTGGCATATATTGGAGGCCTGCCTGATCAACTGAAATCTACCAGTGATTCCAGCTACTTTAAAGGATGTATCCAGGACCTCAGAATTAACAACAAAAGCTTTGAATTTTATCCCAATGGTGTTCTGATGGAATCTTACAGTAACAGGACACTTGTAAATGTAACAAGTGGCTGCATTGGTGACAATACATGTAAGGTACAGTATAACAATCCTCATATTTGGGATAGCGTCATTCATATCGGGAACGTGTTTCACAGGATATGATATAAAGTGAGGTAACTGTGTTTTGTGGGTAAACCAATCTTCATTAATTTAACCCATTTTTGATTTACACCATTGTCCATACAAAAACAAGGTACATAACACAAGTTGATAATGGTAGCTCTCAATTTGCATATGGTAGAAAATGGAGCTGGTGAAACATCAGCAGCTATTTATATCTCTGCCAATGCCATCTATAGAGTGGTGCTAGCCATCAAAAGAATGCCAAAGTGCAGCCTGGAGTGATTGGCTGTTTATAGGAATGTCGGGAGGACCAACAGAGAAGATTAATATTGAAGTAATAGAACTATCCTGATGGTTGAATAGCTTTATTACTGTAAGTAATATTTTATTCAGTGTCGCATTCCGTGAGCTGAACATGTGGTAAAAATTGATAGCATATAGATTGGATTCTCCATAGACCCGGAGTTCTTAGGGTTAAAATGTATTATGTCTAATCAGGATTTAATTGAGTTCCTTGTTGTTTTAGGCAATTACACGAATAGAACCTAATTTTATTTCAAACATCAGTGTGGAATATGTATCTGTGGTAAAATGCAGATCCATCACTACGTTTGATTGTTTATAGTTTGCCTCACGCACAGTAGAACTAAAGAATAATGATGGTTCTACTTGGAGTTTTTTTTGTTATCTGACACATTTTGTGCATTGGAGAAGAGATTGGGTTAAATGAAATGGCACTTTCAGGAACGCTGACAAAGCAATAAGTAAGTCCTCAGGCAACAGCAAGGTGCCACCTTCATGCTTAAAAAAAGAACATGGAAAATAAACACTGTCACTGCCAGAAAAAANTATTTGGATTTTCATTGTATTCTGCTGGGTTTTGCATGAGAAGTGTGGAATAAGGAATGATCAAACAGCGCAGTTCCATTTTAAAAATATTGCAACGTAGCTTAAAAATGAGGAGGAAAAAGTTTGCTGATTTATTAGCCAGACTGTGCTGGATCTAAGTATTTTAATTCTAAATACAGGATTATTTTTCTATCCGTTACAAAATAAATTAACACAGTGGTTTGAACATTGCACGTCACTAGGGAGACAAGTCCAAAGACAGCTTGGGCTTTTTGAGGGGATTTTTATCATTGTAGAAAGACGGAGCTGGCTAAAATCTAGCAAATGTACAGTTCGCTCAATGTGCTCTCAGAGGCAATTGTATGCTTGAATGGCCAAGGATAAAATTGTAATTATAGGGATACTGTGGAATTTTAGCTTGTGTGAGGAGTCAACTGTCGGTGATGTTGAGCTCCACATTTTTGCTTAAAAACTATTACTCTTGCTCCATTTTCATAACGCTATTTTCACACAAAGAGGATACATTATGAATTTACATCATGCAACTGGGCCAACCTCAGGGCATTGATGGTATCCTGTGGCATCTCATCAAACATTCTGCCTATATCGTGCCTGCCATATTGTGTTCTTTATTGTGGCATCAACTCCAAGAAATACAAAAAGATTGTCAGGCATAATGTCAGGACAAAACATATTCAAATGGTGGTGGTGGGTGGAGTGGGCGGTGGTGAACTTGTTAACCTTTTTTGTCAATGTTGCATTCAGTGTTTTTTTTAAAAAAAAGATTTTCATGGCTACGTCTTTTTCCCATCTTCTCCGAAAGGTTCTGACTTGTACAGTAGTTGTCTTCCAGCACCTCGCTCACGCGCGAGTCAAGACTATTTCCAGCAGAGATCACAAGACAGCGATCAGCAGTGGCAACACTAGACTGATTTTTTTCCCCCTTCTTTAACCCAGGGCATTGAGGCCAAATGCAAGCATCTGTATCAGCCAACTATGCCCACAGACGATTGAACCTAGGACCTTTCCACTCTGCTTGCTTCGGTTTTACACAAGATGCTACCAATTAAACCAGCAGGGACTTGTCAAATGCAGTGTTTCAATGTAATGCATCAAATAGAATATTTCCCTTCTCTGAGGCTTACCTTGTTTTATTTTTCTGATAGTTAAACCCATGTCTGAATGGCGGATTGTGCGCCTCCATCTGGGATGACTTTGTATGCACGTGTCCGCCAAATACATCAGGGAAAATGTGCGACCAAGTGAAATGGTGCCAGCTTGGCCCATGTCCATCAAACTCTCAATGTCACCTCCTCAGTGATGGATTTGACTGTAAGTGAATGGTTCACCTTCTCCAGGCCTTTCTCCAATTTTGCACATTTGAGCTTGATGATAGTGTGTGGGTGGTGTGTGTGTGTCTTGTGTGTGGGGAAGGGCGGGGTGGGGGGGAGAGAGGGGGGCAGTTGATAGCCCTTGGAAAAGAAAAGTCCCATTTACTATGTACATTGTCAAAGTTTGTTACATTTAACACCACATGAGCTGCATTCCATTGACCCAATGATGAAAAATGAAAACATTTGAAGTAACTGCAGTAAAACTCTTCATAAGTAATATATTTATATGAGAATGTTTGACTGCAGTGCAACTACTTTGGCTAACAGACCAATTAATACTTCTACACTCATTATGAAGTGTAGAAGTATTAATGCATTTACCTTTAAAGCTAGGATAGATACACTGATATTAAGATAATATTCAGCTACTCAAACATATTGTTTTATCGGATTCCATTTCAAAACATGACTTGAGCGTGAGTGTTGTCATTCTACATTTTTATAAGTGGTACATTTGTATTTTCATAACCCTAATACATTAGTTTTATTGCTCTCATTCAAAATATGGTCCACGTCTTAAAAGACAGAAGTCTCAAAATTCAAAATAAATGATTACTATTTGTCTTAAGTTAAGAACATTTGAACAAAATATTCCTCATGTTCTACTTGTAGGAACAATGGTGATAAATTATCTTTGCATTTGATCTGATTTAATATGCTCTAGTTTTGCTAAAAACGCTTCTCTCCAATCGTAGACAGGAGGTATTTTTAGTCCTTAGTGCATTCCTCTTAGCTGCTGAGCTATTTACACAAGTGTTCTTGTGTCCTACATTTGTAATGTGCATTAACAGGATTATGCTTGCCTCAGATTATCAGCAAACTGTTCTGCCTTCTGTTATACTGCAATGTAAAGTGACATTTTCACACTAGCTGCTCAGTTTTACACCAGAATGTTAATGATGCAAAGTCTCCAGAAAAAGACTTGCAAAGCCAAAGCTCCTCAAATCGTTGCTGTTCATTCTATTACATGGATTCATTCTTTATTGCTATTTGGTCATGTTTTAATTTATTTTATACAAACATCAGATAACTGATTTCTATGAGGAAACATTTAGCACAGCTGAATTTTAATTGGGGATTTACTGGTGTAGTTGATGACTTCTAAGAGTTGAAAGAATACAGATGACCTTTAGAATGACAATCCTGAGTTTCCTCTTGTTGATGTAAATAATATTCCAGTTTGTGGTTGTACATTTTGCTTGCATGGTTGTGCATTGATATAACTGGTCTTTTGCCATATACTGCCATGGTTGCGTGCACTGGTACAGATGTATTGCATACTTCAGGATTCAGTTAAGTTGTTTGCAGTGGCTGCAGGGAAAGGGGGAAGCCAAGCAGGGATGCTCCGGTTGCTCAGTGTTTTGAGGGAGTGTAGCTGGGTTAGATTACTTACCCTCCATGACCACAATTGGAGATGAGCTCCCCACTTCCCCATGTCAGTCTGCTTAAACAGGAAGCAGTGGACCGTGATGCCTTTCACAAAGGAGATTTACACTTCTAACTGAACTAAGTGAAGAAACCAGGAAGAAAGGATAATAATAATCTTTGCATTTGATATAGCGCTTAATCACATCTTCGAGACGTCTCAAAGCGCTTCACAGAATATATTGTAAAGTGAATTGACTGTATATTTTGTGGGCTAAACGCAGTAGCCAATTGCGCACAGCAGTGTCCCACAAACAATCATGGATTGAAGTGACCAAATTATTATTATTAATTTGCAAGATAAGCTGCGAGAGGAAAGTGACATGGAGAAAAGTACTGATCTCTTCTGAACTCAAGATTGTTATTATGTATAGTATCACGTTTAATGTAGGTCATGTGGAAGAATTGGCATAAAGGGATTTTTAGCAAGTGAAGTCTGCCAAGCTTGATTATACGTGGTGGTGTTAGTTGAGTTTAAATGGAAAATGTTCGAATCAAGACTGATTTATCAAGTTATTGCATTTCCTGAACCCACTGTGCTTAAATGGCTTCTAAGACAGTTGAGGACGCATCTCTTTGCAGTGTGAAGTGTTATCAGTTGTTTAGTATTCAATGAACATTGTCATGTAAAGATATTCCCTAGTGGTTAAAGTCCAACCCATGCAAAGTCTTAAAATACTGGTGAGATTTGTCAAATGAATCTTCTGATTTGGTTTCCTCTTATTTTTCTCACAGGCATCTCTAATGCAACATTTAAAGGAGAAAAAAGCATGCTGACTTTCAGAGGGAATGGAAAGATTGTGCGAGATCTCATCAACATTACATTTAGTCTTCGAACCAGGAACTCAAATGCAATTTTGCTCCATGCTGAAAAGGAGCACGACTTTATCACCATTGGTATCAAGCAGTGCCATTTAATATTTATGATGCAAAGTGGGAACAGCCTGGACACCCTGAGTATGCTCAGCCTGACAGGAGTAAGTGATGGCCTGTGGCATAACGTGATTCTTTACATGACAGATCCGTTGCTTCACTCATCCAGATGGCAGATGGAGATAGATAAGCAAGAAGCGACTGTCACCAGCACAGTTACCAATGGGAACATGAACTTTCTAGCAGAAGGAACAGACATTTATCTTGGTGGTGGAGGTCCCGAGATTCGAGGCAGTTTAGCAGGTTGCCTGAACACTGTAAAGCTTGGTGGCATTTCCTTACCTTACTTTGAAAGTGCTGATATTCACATTAACAAGCCTCAACAAGAACAATTTATTAAAATATCCTCTAACACTGTACTAATAGGTTGCCCAAGGAGCAACATTTGTGCATCCAATCCCTGCAGAAACAATGGCAGATGTGAGGACATGGTCGGTTACTATCAATGTAACTGTCTTTCGGGTTGGACTGGCCTGAACTGCGAAGTCAATATCAATGAATGTCAATCAAATCCTTGTGTCCATGGCAACTGTACTGACAAAGTATCAGCATACAAATGTATATGTGCACCTGGTTTCACAGGCACTCGGTGCGAAACAAACAGAAACGACTGTCACAACCACAAGTGCGCAAATGGAGCTAGATGCATTGATGGCATAAATGGTTACTCCTGCAGTTGTCCTACTAACTTCATCGGAAGATTTTGTGAGTAAGTAGAAATGTCTTATAAAACTAGAATTAAATGCAATAAGGTAAGCTTGCTCTTATATCAGAAACACCCTATCTAGTTTGCGTGTGAATTAGTGTATAGAAAACCCAATAATAATAACCCTTGGATTTGGTATAGCACCTTATAGCGTTGGAAGGACGTCTCAAAGCGTCTCAGTGAAATGGAGTGATTGTGTATTTGTAGGCAAACGCGACAGCACAATTGTGCATAGCAATGTCTCATAAACAGCGAAGAAATGAGTGAACTATTTTATTTGGGGGATTGGTTGCAAGGACACTGGGAGAAACTCCCTTCCCTTTTTGAATAGTGCCACTGGATCTTTAATGTCCACCTGAACAGGCAGATGGGACCTCGGTTTATATCTCATCCAAAGGACTTCTCACCCAATACATTTCCTTTATTAGAGGCATTTCTAAATTAAAATCTTTTACATTTGCTAACGGGTGAATTAGTCTTTTTAAAGGGAGCCAACGAGTTTGAGTATTAATTGGTTAAGACCGAGAAAAGTTTGATGCTTTGATTTCATTTCTGTGCATGAAACATTGCTGCAAGTTACTCTTGAACTTCACCCAAACATATAATTTTAGGTTCAAGTTTTTCTTATATAGTGGAAGCCCCCTCCTTTCTCTTTAAGAAGTTTAATTTGTTGGTCCTTCCACTGGGTACTTTCCATGGGTTACAGGCACCCTCTAGTAGCTTACCCTATCCAGTTAAGCAGCATATATAAAACCACACTGTACCTATCTTTTCACTATTTTGTTTTGCTAAGATATGACACTAGATTATATTGAGGTTTTCAAAGTTTTTTTTAAACCAATATTCTCCCAATTTCCCCAAACCACTCGCCAGGCATTGTTCCAAGGTCTCTGAAACTTTCCCTAAATGCCCAGTCCTCATGTGAAAGACAGAACAGATATTCTTACTCAACCTCCACACCCACATTGCTGTCCCAAGTGAGACCAGCGAACAGAGGGGAAATAGAACCTGCAACCTTCTGGTTTGTAAGTCTTTGTTCTATCCCACGCAATGCCTTTGTCAGTGGGCAGTCAAAGTGGGTTAGGTTTATTAAACGTAACAGAAAATCTCTGCACATTTTATCTCAATCATCTCTGTGGATTGTATTTCTTATTTGGCTAAAAATCTTGTCTCAGTAATGTGTCAATCCTTTGAGACGTTAATTCGTTGCTTGCCTATCCTTTCTATCACTTGCTCTTCTATTTCTTACACTGGACAGAATTGTCCATTTTGTACTGTTCATCTTTTTCTGTCTCCGTCTCTGACAGTCTGCGTGCGGTAAGAACGGTAAGAATGTACGTTCTGAATTCTTTCTTCACCCTTTTCCTCAGTCAACAGTACATTTGTGATCCTTTGCTTTCCTCGTTTAAATTCAGAGATGCATTTTTTAATCAAGATTTCTAATGATGTCTGAAAAAAAACCTCAGTCTTATGGTAACCCTTGTGCACCTATTTCTGTAGCATTGTGACTGTAATAGTTTTATTTCAAATTGAATAGAGAATTAATTCTGGTCTCAGTGCACATTAATATTAGGTATTTACCCACCCAACCCCCTCACCTGAGTTCAGAATAATATCCAACATATTTTTAAGTATGTTTTTAGTTTGGAACCTAGGCAATTTTAGTTTGCTTTTTTCATGCCTACAAATCCCTTCATGCCCTTGCACCTCTCTCCCTCTCCGAGCTGCTTACTTCCCACTCCACAACCTGCTGCATCCACTGGGCTGGCTCCAGCCTCCTGCTTATCCCTCATCCTCTCTACTTCACCATCAGTGGCCGTGCTGTCAGCCACTACACCCCTGAAACATTGGAACTCTGTCCCTCCATCCTTCCGCTTTGCCCCCTCGTTCCCCATTTTCAGATCATGTCTGAAGACCTTCCTCTTCAACTGCACTTAGGTCATCTCCCTCCTCCTTCAGGCTTGGCCACTGTTAAGGGCTCCAAGAGGCTACCCCGGGTGAAAAGCGCTCTAAATATACAAGTTGATGTTGCTTTAAGAAACATTTTGATACTGTAATGGGAAGACAAATTTGGTATAATGGAACAATAAGATCAAAAGATAAACCTCTCTTCTGATCTTCGCAGGTCACAAAGGCCATTGCTGCCTACATTTCGAAGGTAATCAAAACTATAATGAGTAGGTTAAGAGACTTTTATATTATTTTGATTGCTGTTGATATGAAACGTTTCACATATAGGCAGTATTAAAATCAGGAATATAACGACAAGTTGCTTGCTCCACAGCAAATGTTAATAACTCAGAAGCTTTCCTCTATAGGGGTGAAGTCCCCAATGTCTCAGGTTAACAACGTGACTTGATTCTATTCCGAGCAACTAGAAACAGCTTTCATGCACTCCCTCATGGCTGTCAAGTGCAGCCTTTTTGCCGGCTTATCAAATCAGGATATTCTGAGAGTGTTTAAGTGATAAAGCACTGAGCCGCTCTGTATTGTGAAAAGCAGACAAGCCATGGCTGTAAACCATGTAGATGGTAGAGGTCAACAAGGTTAAATCTATTTAATAGCTTTGCTAAGATATGAATTAACTTCGACCCTGTGGATAAGTAGGATCTTTCTAAATGACAGGCAACAAAACTGAGCTTAGAAAGTGTCTATATATAAATTGGTTTATAGAATTCTACACATGCAACATTATCAGTTCTGGAAAATCTTGACAGCAGAAACAACAATGTGCATTTATTCATGCAGGGTCTCGGAGCACAGGAACAGTCAAATCCAATCCAACTCAGGAAGCATTTTGTGTGAACCTGAACTGAAGATTATGCCATTAGCTTTGCAAAACCAAACTAGATTTAATTATATTATAGAAAGGAATATGCAAAAAGCAAGAGAAAATACAGTATAAGCAATCAGATTTCTAAGAGGAATATGAAGGGTGTGAACAGGATTCACAAAGAAGAGTTCGTCATGGATAAAGCTCCCACAGGCCACTGTGAGCACAAGTTGCACATATTATCCGTAAACAACAACAATAAACATTTAAGCACTGAATCTCACCAATGTTACACTTCGTGCTGTGTGTATCATCCTATCCTTGGTTGTTGTTTCTATGGTAAAATATGTTGAATTTTTCAGTTCAGTCACTTCTCATCTTTTGTGAGCAGGTTGCCACGGATGAAAGGAAGATAAAAACTTAACTACAGTAATATGTAAATGAATTTACACATTTGGTTAGTGCACACAGGTTTGCAAGTACAGTCAACGACACTAATCCATTTCATATTCATTATTTGTAGATATCCTAGACTTTCAACTACACTTTGCATTGATGAAAAGAAAAACTGGACCTGGACCTGTTATAATGGGGGAAACTGTACGGATAAGAAGAATGTCAGGTGTAACTGTCCATTGGGATTCAGTGGAAGCCGGTAAGCAAAACCCCAAAAGGGATATTATGAGCTGTGCTTAAATAATAATAATAATTCCTTGCATTTGATATAAAGCCTTTTGCATCACAAGGATGTCTCAAAGGTTTCACAGGATACAACACCGCAGTACCACACTGGGGCATCAACCGAGACTGTTAGTTCAAAAGCCCGACACGGGACTTGAACCCACACAATTCTGACTCAGAAGAAAAAATGTTACCAACTGAGCTGGGCTGGCACCTGTCCTGATTATTACTCCTGTTTCATGTCAGTATACGATCCAGTGATGGGAAATGAAATCTGTTCATACTAGTGGCTAGTCCTTATTGGACTGTCAGTATATCCAATGAGTAGAATTGTCCCAGAGGGACGAGGAGAGAAGGAATTTCTCCAGTGCTCTTAAATTCAGAGCAGCCTGGACAAAGATTTTGCAGATCATTAAGCTCCTTTAAATTAAGAGTAAAATAAAAATCGAACAAACAGTTATGCATACATGCTTGTTGCCTCTGTTCCAACGCTGGATTTGTCTCATCTCTATTTCAGATACAGAACAGTGCTGTACTTCTAAAGTCACGTCATTGCACACAATGTATAAAGCAGCATTTGCTGAGCTGACAATATATGCCTTAACTGCTTGACAATTTCTGGTTACAGCATTAATGTAGTCTTAGGATTTTCTAAAAAGGCACAACCAAAGCCGACCACACACTATGGTGTGACCTTTCGTTGGCGCGGACGGGAAGGGTAATGGATTGCATTTGCAAAACAGTAACTCAATCAAGTGTTCAGATGATGTCAGGAATGGTGGGAGTATAGCTGGAGTGGTTTCTGTATGTTATTTGAAACCAAAGATTGTGTTACTAGCTGTTACCCTTTTCTTGCTTATTTGCTGCAACCTCCATTGTGTGTTTAATGCTGGGAGCAGAAACACGCTTTATGCTTTCCCACTCACCATCAAGATCAAAAAATATAAATGTAATTTTAAATAATACTTTTAAAATGTAATTTGCAACATCGGCTCTTTAATAATATTAAGAAAAAAATCTGTTGAAAGCTCCCAGCTTTCAACAGATTATAGAGGAGTGAGGTCAGTACGATTCACACCAGCCATGTTTATAGTGCAGTGGGTGTGAGCTATATCGGCCCTAAAACCACCTCTTTTAGGGAGAATAAGGAGCAGAGCTCCAGCCTGATTCGTATCTTTTTACTGAATTGTTTTTAGACAAACAGCCTGCACTTCTAAAATAGAACTTATGTAAGGCAAGATAATGTTTTTGCCAAATAAATGGGGCTACAGTACAATACATTTGATATAGCGCCTTTTAATGTCAGCACATCGCAAAGCATTTTACAGGACTTACTGTAAAGTGCAGTGACTATATGCTTTGTAATTAAAGTGGCAGCCAATTTGAGCACAGCAATGCCCCACAATCAGCTATGAAGTGAATGACTAATTTTACATGGGTGACTGTTTGCCAGGACATCGGGAGAAATTCATTTCTCTTTTTGAATGGTGCCATGGCATCTTTAATGTCGCCTGAACAGGCAGACAGCACCTTAGTTTAATTTTCATCCCAAGAAAGGCAACCCTGAGAGAAACCCCAGAACTGTACAGGAGTGTCAGTCTAGACTGTGAGTTAACCCAACTTAAGGCTTGAACCTACAACCTTCTGACTGAGAGGCAATAGTGCTACCAACTGAGCCAAGCTGACACAGAAATGTATAAGTATAATGATTTTAACTAAGTTTCTGTTTTAGGAATTCATTTTGCAGGTTTTGGGGAATCAAACAATTCAATTCATGTTTAAAGGCTCCTACATTGCTACTGAAGTTCTTTGGGGTTTACTTCAACTTTAGCTATGATGATGATGACAATTCTGTAAAAACTCTACCGCTGTGGCGAGTGATTCATTCCTTCATTGAAATAAGAATTATATATCAGTAAAGTTTACTGCTAAAGTATTTTTTGTTTCAAATCAGTCTGTGACTGTTCGCCTGGCAGGTGTGAGATGGACGCTGATGAATGTCAATCGGACCCTTGTCTGAACGGGGGCCTGTGTCAGAACCTGCCCGGCCGGTTCCAGTGCATCTGCGACATGAGCTTTGTTGGTGACCGATGCGAAGTGGATGTAAGCGATCTCTCCTTTTTCATCTCTTTGCTACTTTGGCAGAATCTTTTTCAGCTTCTCTCCTTTCTCATACTTCGAATGGATGATGAGCCAGCAGTTGAGTGGGGCTGAACTACTGGCATGATCATTTCAATAAAAATGGACAAATCAATTTGTCTATCAACAATAGGACAACTATGACTACGCCTTTATAGTTCATGAGAACTCACTCATCCAAATACCTATTGGTTTAACTCTGGAAGGACTCGTGACCTTTACATGCAATCCCTTTAACATGGAATGGCTGAGGGAAATTAGTTTTTCTGTAAACATTTAAAACTAAATATTGCAAGGTACAGTTTAATTCAAAGAATTGACAGGGAGCTAGAATGCTACTTATTCCACAGTATTTTAACAATGAACCAAAGCAGCAATTGTTTGGCTTCTGGCTGTAGTTTTCAAAGGGTTAAAGGCTATGATCTGCATAAAATAAAACAAAATGTACCACTTTGCAGTGTGTGGTTTTCCCAGGGCAATGTGCACAAGCAATGGGGAGATTGATGATTTTCACATGAGTTTGAGTGTTTCCTGAGCAGCTTTAGTTGCTCAGGGCCTGTTTTCTGCTCATTGGTAAATTTACGAAATTTACGGAAAATATCAAAAGGCAGAAGCTTTCAAGATATCCTCTAGCGCTTCCACTGCGAACTTTGTGATGTAAATTTACAATGTCTGGATAAACAAATGCCAACAAGTTAATATACTGCCAAGTGGATAATAATCCCCTGGAACTTCTTTCAACTTAAAAATGTGGTTAAAATTTTAAGGATCTTGTTACAAAATATTACTGTACATTTTAACATACATGAGCACAGCTGAATAGCTCCGTTTGTTTTTAGAATTTTCCTGATGACTTTCAATATACAGCCCAATTTATTTTCAAAGAGTGAGCATTGATTGTTTCTTTAAATAAAATAGACCCCTGGATAGTAGACCCTTGATATCTGTACAATGTTCAGCATAAGTTAAGAAAAAAAAACTTAATTTCTATTTCACTTCTTTTCACCCATACTAAATACCTGAATATTTGTAATAAGAATGTTTACTCATTTAATCCAAAAGAAACCCTTAAATATTAAACACAAGAAAAGGCATCGAGGACAGGAAATTAGAATACATTAGGAAAACCAATAGTGTCATGGAGAGATGATACAGGGGTTCACATTCCTGGTATCTTCAAACCACTGAGTTCCTGACCTCCAGCACATTGCTCTGGGAGGTACCTGTGCTTTTGATGCACAACCCCAGAGGCCTGTTTCAGAGCTGCTCTTCCAGAGGCCTGAAAGCAGAGCAACCACATCATGTTTTAGGCATTTTTTAGATCTGTGGCAAAGAGCAATATATTCGTGTGAAGTGGAAAGATAAAGTAAAATGATAGCGTTCTGGCCTCCAAAGCAAAAATTCCAAAAGGAAGAAGCTTTTCTAAGATATATAGGGCTTCTGCTGCTTAATATTGAGGTGCTATACAGTGAAAATGTAGACAGTCTTAGAAAAGTTCAAATGTTTTATGAAATTAAAGTCCTTCCAATGCTATATTCCAATCCAATGCAATCCTAGACTAAGTAATCTTAGTAAATTAATAATAAGTAGACCAAAAATTCTTGCTTTCTATTTCAGTATTATGCCTTTAATGTTAGGATCATCATTAAATGGTCCAAATTTCTCATGAGTTAAATATTATTTCCAACTAGGACTTTGTTCTTGAATAAGCTTCTATCAATAGTTTTAAAAAAAATGAAATCTGTTGTAAATATTTTATTCACTACCTCTGTAAATATGTGGTTTACATTTAAGGTTCTTAGTTGTTCTAACCTTGGTATATTTAGAGACATGCTATAACAAATGTTTACGTTTTCCTGGTTTATAAGCTCTATTTTGAGTTATGCAGTAAAAGTATTTGGCAGTACATAATTATATCAGATGGGGCTGTCCTGCTCAGAGAAAAAAAATATAGACCAAGAGTAAGTAAGAAATGCACAGAAAATGCGATGACTGGTTTATTTGATAATGGAAATGGGAATACCTGGGCTATTGGTATAGCGCTTGTCCTCCCAAAATGTGGACGCAAAACTTCCAACATATTCACAACAACTTTTGTAAGATATCATCATAGAAGATATAAATGCCATGAGAGCAAATGTAGGAGATTAGGTTGTCTTGATTTCTCTTTTGTACTTGTTCATGTAACCCCTCGTAAATCATCAGCTTTCACCAGCAATTCTAATATTCCATGTCTCTTCACTCTGTTTCTGTCTATGTCACTTTTTGTCATGTAGAATCATTCTGTATGATGTTCATAATGTTGTTCTGCCTTCGTGTGCATGTGTATGTGTGTGTTTGAAAATCTCTACACGTGACTCCATATTGAATGTGCATATGTTTAGTGCTATCAAATGAGTTATTAAACACATCCATCATTGTATCTTTGTCTTTCTTCCTTATTCTTTTCTTTCATTAAAAACTAACTTAAATGTATACTTATATAAAAAAAAGAACTTGGATTGCCTTATTAGTAAAGCATACCACAGTTGTACTCCAAACACCAAGCAAACAGGTACCCCTTTTTTTAGAGAACAATTTGAAACAATATTGTGGTTACTATTACACTGTGTTGCTCGTGTCCTAGCTCAGCACAAGCGAACCAGACCCCTAAGCACGCGCACCACTGTGGCAATCACTGACAAACATTTAATCACCAAATTGATCCCAAGATTGGTTTGGATGAAGAAAGTCCACTGGCACATCTGATCTCATCCCTCCAGAATACTCGCCCTCCCATCCTCCCATCACAGCATCAAGCTGTTTTTTAAACAAGTCCAGTGTCCTCGCCTCAACCACTCATCCTTCCTGGCAAAAACATTAAAGTGGGAGTTGTGTCATTGAGAGTCGTGTCGATTAACCACAGAGGTTTTGCAATAAGCAGTACTCTTTCAGTCCAAATAAGGTACTCCATTATCTAACACATGTTTGCTATACCACAGGATAGTTTATAGGCAGAGACCATGACGTTTATTCACTAAAGAATACAAACAGCGGACTGGCTTGCTTCCCATGCGCCAGCCAGCTCCCATGTTTAAAAAAAACTTTGGGTCATCAGGTTGCCAGTGACTTTACTTGCACTCCTTGCTGGGATACCAGATATTTAGTTCAGGTGGGCATTCCTCAAATGCAACCTGAAATACACCTGATCACATCATTGAGATGTCTCAAAGCGCTTCACAGGATATACTGTAAATTGGATTGACTGTATATTTTGTGGGCAAAACAAAATGGGAGTTGATTCAACCCTGGAGAAATATCCCAGCTTGCTGACATCTATGCTTTCTTTAAATTGCAAGGAGTAAGAGGTTTCAATATCTGTACTGTACTGTTTAAAGCTAGTTTCCTCTTGAACACTCATCAAATTTCTAGTTTGCTTTTGTTCAAGTGTTTGAACTGGACTGGTACGGCATTCTTCTTTTCACTGTGCCTCATAGCATTGTGTTATCTTTCAGTTCAATCCACACATTTGATATTGGAATGCTACACCTAGTAATTCTGGCATGTTGTTAGATGATAGCCTCTGAAACATCTGATGTAAATAGAATATTTATATTTCCCTGATTTAAAAAGAAATGAACAAAGATGCCCCAATCTCTACAACACAAATCACTTACAATTTCAGAAGTCAGTTCTGCATGTGTGTAGCCGAAATACCATGAGTCCCAGTTATAATGACCTTCTTGCAGATTGCAGGTTCATTCCTGGATCACAAGTCTGGGACTGAGATTGATGTCGGATCAACAGTTGATGTGCATTTCATGAATTAAGGCTTTTGAGACATTTCTCTAGTAGAAATGTTTAAATATATTTTCAAAACAAATAATAAAGTTCTCAAGGTAACTTTGCATTAGTCACAGTGTAGCTTTACAAATGAAACCAATTCCACACACCTTAGCCCTCATTGGTATGGTAGGATGCAGGTTGCAGGTTCCCTCTTGCAGTTTCCATGTTTCAGTTATGACACATGAAGCGTGTACATTAAAATGCCTTTACTCATTGCATAATATGGTTGAGATGGGTAAACGAAGAGTTTTTAAAATGCCAAGCTATTTATTATTGGCTTGGTTCTCCAAAGATTAAAATAATCCAATGATTCATCCAGTTTGAACTGGAACGTGGAGGAAAGAAACATCCAACTGTGCTCATGGTGTCCACTTCCAAGTAGTTATATGTTTTGTCAGGGTTTTAAGGAGGCTGTGCTATTTATTTCAGAAGCAGTTGTGGTTAGCTGCTGTGTTACCAACAGCAGTGAGTCAATTAGCTTTACGTAAGCCTTTGAGTCTGAGATATTTGCTCTGATAAGACCACTTTAGAAGACTTGAAGAAGCCTGAACTTTATACAGAAGACATCTAGTAACAAGTCTTACCTGTATAAAGTGAAGTCCTGTAGCTTAGTGGCTAGAGCACTTGCCTCGCAAGCAAGAGGACCTGGGTTTGATTCCTGGGCAGGGCAAAACTTTGGGCGAATTTCCTTACTCCACACACCTCTGTTTGCCTGGCAGTAATTAGAAACCTGGTTGTTAGAACTTAGAGACATACAAACGTACAACTTATACACTAGAACTTACAGGACATAACTTATGGCAATATGAAGAGTTGAATACCTCACCATTATAACTTTAAAATTACAATTAAAATAGAGGAGCTAACTGCTACATTTCATAACAGATTGATTTTGTCCCAGAATCTTTTTTTCTATCATAAAATTATATGGTCATAATTCTTTGAGAATTGTAGTATTATTTTGAAATCAAACAACCAGATTAGAATAGTTTAACACAAAGATATTACAAAAGAAACTTCACCAATGTCTCTTGACTGACAGGAATCTGTGCAGAGAGAGAGAGAGATGCTTTCTGCCACTAAGCCTGACGTTTCTCATGTCCACCTCAATTGGTCTTGCTACAAATTGATAGAAGGCA